CGTAGAAGGAAACCCATTCTCTAGAGTAGAAAAATTAAAATACCTCGGCTCCACAATAACCTCATTGAATGACCAACGGACAGAAATAGACCAGCGTATAACAAGCGCAAACAGAACTTTCCCTCCTCAAAGATATTGGAATCTTGAAACATCTCAAGAAACCCCAAATTAAGGGTGTAGAACGATATGATGAAGCCAGTTCTAATATATGACAGTGAGACCTGGACACTAACCAGCAACCTAGAAAAAATTGTTGAAAGATTTGAGAGAAAAATCCTCCGCACGATAACCGAAGCTATCTGGGATCAGAGTAATAACACATGAAGAAGAAAGACCAATAAAGAACTGCTTACAGAAGCTGGTCAATGAATATACCACAATATGAAGGCACGGAGGTTAAGATGGCATGTAGCTCGTAGAAATCCATCTGAAAACCTCTACGTAACAATGAATGCATCAATAGAAAACAAAAGACTAAGTGGAAGGCCACAAGGCAGATGGATAGATCGAATCAACAAAGATGCAACAGAGCTTCGTGCAGAAAAAAAAGAAAGAAATAGCCCAAGACAGGCAAAGATGGAGTAGGCTTGTTAAGGCGGCATGGTCTGTAATGCCAACAGGAAAAAAAAAAAAAATAAGAATATCAGACTTTTTTTTGTTAATATTTTAATACTTTTTTTATATTGAGATGGAAGGTCAGCAACCATTAAACTTATCGTTAGCTTTTTATTACACTTCGCGTGGAAGCAAAATAAAATTTCGTTAATTAAATTTAACACATTGTAAGTTATAATGCTACGTTTTAATCGAATAATATTCAGACTGCAGCGACATTGAGATATACAATTTGGCTTTATGAGGTCACGCATCCAGTTTCTTATCCTTGACAGTTGGCCTCTAGGACTGCCATTAGGACGTTTCTAAAGCTTTTTTATTTATAATGATGTTACGTTTCCCAAGACCAAGGAAGGCTTTTGGAGTTAATTTAAGGTTTCAAATTACAAGAACCTCCATTATATAAAAATCAAAATATTTTAAACTTCATGTTGCATACTAATGAACCATTATTATTATTGCAATTATTTTTTTTGTAACCTAGAAGTATAGATGCCCTGAAAATTTGACAATTATTGTGATTTGAAAATTATCAGCCAGACAATGAATTCAAAAAATTAATTTCTAATAACATTTTGTCTTAAAAGCAGTTATATAATAAAAGTCGCCTTTTATTCTCATTTAATTGTTATGAAACTACTGTTACAGCAGTTTTTAAATATTAACCTTTCTAGTTCAAGTTTTATATGAGTTATGTTCAATAATCAGGCAAAAGATTTACATGGTCTGTAAAATCAACTAAAAAAATGATAAATTACATAATAAAAATATTTTAAGCTCATTTTAACAATATTAAAATCCATTTCATTATATATATATATATATATATATATATATATATATATATATATATATATTCAAGACACAGACATAACATTATTATAACGCACTTAAAAGGAGTAGTTTTTTTGAAAATATAGGATGACGACCACACAACATTTCATTTTCTTTTTACACGAGGAACCATGAAATGTTATATATTTAGTTTAATTTAACAAAATTATTTCCGACATTTCCTGTATATAAATTTTACATTTCCTTTTTATTTTTATTTTTTTTTTTTAAATAAAACTTACTTTTACATTGGTATAGAACCGTCTGCCTAGAGATGCCCTAAAAATATATACAATGAAAATAAATAACAATAATAAAATCAATAAAAACAATAAACTTTGGAAACATTAAACAGCTTTTTATTATTTAAAACTACATGATACATATAATCTAAATGAATTTTAATTTGTCAAAAAATAACAAATAAATAATTTTTGATACATGACCTCAATCTCATACTTGCTTTTGTTTATATATAACTAGAGAATGTTATGTGTTGTATTGCTGAATTCAAAACATCCTATATTTATAAGCATATATAAACTGTTTCTATCTTTGCCAATGAGTATATTTATAAGTTCATTGCGGTCCATGATTTTTTCTTAAAATATTTTATTCTATATTCCTGTAAAATTGTAAATAGCGACGTAAGGGTATCTGTAAGTAAGGTAATAGAGGAAATTGAAACGAAAATTAGACGGTAATATTTTATCTTGACAGAATAAACCAGTGTAATTAAACGAAGGAAAGTTCAATTTATCATACTTCACTTAATTTTTCGAAGAAATTTTGACAATAAGGATAAATATCTCTAACAAATGTAATAAATTATTATAATCATTGACATTTTTCACTATGCTGTTTGTCTTTTCATATATTTTTTGTATATACAAATGGTATAAAGCAAATTTTTAAAAAACTTCATAATTTTTTCAATTGTTTTTTTTTCGTTATTTCCTAGTAGCTCTTTCATATTTCCTGTTAACTCCAGAGAGGTTCGGATGTTTTGGAATTCAATGCAGTCTACTAGTATGTGTTTTACTGTGTTAGAATGTGCTCATGTGCTCATGCATGCAAAATATATGCATAGGTGGGTCTAGGTTTTGTAGAAGATATTCCTGAGAGTATCTGCAATGGCCAATGAGGAAACGCTTGATAGTTTATAAATTATAGTTTATTATAATAAAATAATCCGAAAAATATCTCCTTCTTTAAAAAACAAGCTAAGCCCGGAATCAACAAAAAATTTATCGTCTCCATCCATTGCAAACAGACTGAAAGGAGTGGTAGAAAATAATGGTTTGTCTACAAGGTGTTGAACTAAATTAATAATATTTAAAAGTTGACAAAAAGTGAGCTGTACCATTTTGACTGTGAGGTAAAATTATCCAGCTTTAAAACAAGAAATAAATAAATAACCACAGTTTAATATTTTGATTTTATTGAGTTTGTACATATTTAAAATGAGATCATAAATAAATACATTTTTAAAATAAAAAAAAGTTTTATTTGTTTATTGTAACCATTGAAGTGTTTTTTCTACTTTTTTACGAGATGTATCAATTTCACTGTAGGTACTTGCACTTCCTATACAACGCGTCTCAAAAGGTATTATTAGACACAAATACTCTAATGCACACGTTGAGCTCGACTTATGAATGGAGTGTTTACAGGTGAATGTAAAACCCGTTTCGAGTCGTTAAGCTTCTATTGGCAACAGGTAGTGAGAGGAAGGGGAAATATAGGTGAGCCCCACCTGTTGATTTCACCTTACACATATTGCCGTTCCAGTATTGTATCATCTTACGTAGTTATATTTACGTAATATTATCCATATTTTATTTATTAAAACTAAATTAATTAATTCACAATTTGATTAATTGGTCAACGAAAGAAACGTTTATTTATTTTTTCGTTTTCGATTCATGTCTGCTACCTGCCGACCTTCTATAGATAATTAACTTAAAAATAGTGGGATAACAACGAAGTAAAACCAACGTTGTAATGTCCTATATTATATTACTAACTTAAATTTCTCAGTTTATTAATGATTGTGAAATAATATTAATTTTGGAAGTATCCAAATCTCGAATATAGAGTGAGTGCTGCTCTAAATTTAAATAAACATGAAATTACAAAAAAAAAAAAAGATATCCATATGATATCCATATCATAAAAAGATATCCATATCTTCTACAAAAACTAGACCAACCCATTTGCAAATAGTGCTGGATTGCAAATGACAGTGAAACACTAGTAGACTGCATAAGATTCAAAAACAACCGAACCTCTCTGGAGTTATTAGGAAATATAATAGAGCTGCTATAAAATAACGAGAAAAAAAAATTTGAAAAATTATGAAGTTTTTTAAAATTTTCTGTATATACCAAAAAAATATAAGCAAAAGTAAACGGCATAGCGCCAATGAGGTGAAATCAAATAAATAAATTATTTTTTCTCATAGTTAATAAAGTGCATTATGTTCCAAATGTCAATGATTATAATAATTTATTACATTTGTTGGAGATAGTTATCCATACTGTCAAAATTTCTTCGAAAAATTAAGTGAAGTATGATAAATTGATATAATTCAACGAAGCGAGATTAATAATATAAAATATAAATAATAGATAATTATCAAGAGGATGAAATGCTGAATATTTCCCTCGCTTGCAGTATACAGGTCGGATTTTGAGTTTTTGAGATATTTTAATCGATATCTTCCATAAAACTCGTTATCATTTAGTATTTCTTCCCTTTTCGCCTCTCTAACACGGCGTCGCGTTAAGATACAATTTTGAATTATAACCTATCCCTACATCACTATAAATAGTGTCCATGTCATATATTGTTGTAATACTCTATAAATAAATTTAAAAAAAAAAAGGTATTACAGAGAGAATGAAATGCTGAACCATTTTCTCGCTTACAGTATGAAGACCCGATTTTTAGTTTCTGAGATATTTTAATCGATATCTTTCATAAAACTCGTTATCATTTGGTTTTCGGCACTGTTTTTTCCTATTCGCCTTTCTAGGCGTCGTCGCGTTAAGATAAAATTTTGAATTATTGCCTATTACAGAGAGGATGAAATATTGAACAATGTGAAGACATTTCAATTAATCGACTTTAGCCGAGTTAACACTTGGAAAATCTGACGGATCAATCAAATTCACTCTCTACAAAAAATATAAAACGCGTCTAAGGAAGTTATCGCTTCAAAAAATACGTTGACAGAACTTTGTTCATTTCTAAAATATCTTGTAGATAAAATGTATAATAATTTTTAAATAAACACGTAATAACGTAAGTTCCATTACGTCTATTATCTAGTAATCTATTATCGGACTGTTATCTAGTAGAACCTATTAGTAGAACATTAAAAAAAGGGTAATAAAGTATATTGTAACTCATTAAAGAAGTAATAAAATATCACGCTCAGAGAAGAACCAGACCTTGTGACACTGGCGTAGTCTAAGTGAGGGGGGGAGGGAGGAGAGGGGAGACTAAACAGTACGAAATATTATCTGAGTCATTAGTCGAGGTTGGGTTCCGCTTGCTATCAGTTCGTGCGGTTGCCTTGCCAAGTGCGGTCCGGTACAGCTCGGTACTCCACGTGTACGCATGTACCATCAGTGAACTTACACTCACAGGGCATCTCTGTGTTCGCAGATATGAAAAATGGAAAGGACGAAGACCAGGCCAACAGAGGACATCTTAATAAGGGAGAAGAAGATGAAATGGTGAGTAACATATTTTCCAATAAAATTATATATGTATTCCAATATTTATATATGTATACACATTGGCAAGTAAATAAATATAAATATTTATATACAAGATTGATAGCAGACCTCAAGAGCTATAAAAAAAGTTCGTATAAACAATGGTCCGATTTTCGTCAGGAAAGTAGAAAATCCAATTTTTTTTTCAATAGGAATTGATAAATAAAGAAACATTTAATTTAAGTAATTAACGATTGCTTCACTGTAAACTAGACAAAATTTACTTCATATGTAAATAGAATTTGCCGTTGTTAAAACCATTTAAAGGGGACTTTTGAACGCCTAAACTGAACTAAGTTCTGGTTTTTAAAAATCTTAAATTGTGCAATTTTTTTTTTTTTTGTCGTCCTTCAACAATACTACAGATACTTCACTTTTAGAAAAACTTCCTCGTTTAATAACATTTAATTCCGTATAAATTAAATTGAAGTTTCTTAAGGAAAAGTTGAGATTCACCTCGAGTTGTGTAAAATGATTATACGGTTTTATATCCTTCCAATAAAATTAAGAATGTTTTCAGGAAAAATGACTACATTAAAACAGACATAATTGTCTAAATACACTTTTTATGTATAAAAAAAAAATTATTATTTTTCAAATATATTCATGCAAAGTCGTTATGAAACTGTGTTCTTCTCTTAGATTTCTGACATACGATTTGATCAGTATTTATAGATGACAAACTTAATTGTTTCTATTTCTAAAATGTACGTTTTCCGGAAATAAAATTATTCTATTTTAAACGTATATTTTAGGACTAGAAACAATCAAGTGTGTCAATTATAAATACGGATCAAATCATGTATCAGAAATCTGAGAGAACACAGTTATTGTTATTATTATGTTCTAATATAGAACAATTATTTTCATGAAAACGTAAATGTTAGGATTAGGAACATTTAGTTTGTCACTTACAAATACGGATCAATTCCCATAATGGATATTTAGATCAAACACATAGTATCATAACTATTTAATATAAAAAATATTTGAATAATATTAATTTTTAATAAAATGTTTAATAAATAAAGCGTGACTTATATTGCAACTATAAAATTGCAAATACAATTATTTATATAATAATAAATACCACATCATGAAAAAAACAAGAAATAGAAGCTTTACAACAATTTATTGTAGTGATTTTTGCTGAAAACATGGGTATTTTTAAGTGGCAGAATATGTAATTACATATTTTTTTATAAGTAGTCTGATTTTCAGCAAAAAAAAAAAAAAAAAACAGGAAATTTAAGTTTCGTCTTTAATTGTCACGTTTATTGTAGAATAACAAGCTAGAGCAAATGAGATTAGAAACATTTAGTTGGCCAGTTTAATATAATAAGAATCAATTATTACATATTTTTTTAATAAATAAATTTGTATTTTTGTAATTAATTTACCAATAATACATAAGTCGCAAAAAAGTTAAATATTTATAATAATTTATTTTCATTATTTTTGTTGAAAATACTGTTACTACATAGTGGTATGATACTAAATCATTTTCATATTTTGATATAAGAATCTCAAATAGTTCAATAACAAATCCTCAGCTTACTTAGTATGTTTAAAAACTTTGCTTTCTAAACAAAGTAGTTTTTCTATAATTGAGTTAATCTTATTAACTGAATTAAAATTGAGTTAATTTTATTATTACATACTATGTTTTACTGTTATAATATTACTATTATTATTATTATTATATGGGATATTACATTATATTTCATTTAGGCATACAGCCGGGTGCTTGGTTGTTGTCAGGAGAGGATGTTGTCACTGAATCCTAATGAATGTTACTTTGTACATAAGTTGTAAATGTTTTTAATATTTATTGTGTTCATTGTTATCATTATGGACAACTCTATTTGTATGATGCATTCCCGAAAACAATTAAAATATTCATTCATTCATAATTGAGTTAATCTGATTTAAGAAATCGGCAAAAGAAATAATCCATGATTTTATGAAAAACAGAATTTAACAAGCAGCGTATTTTTGCCATGCAAAATCTCCATTAATTGGTTTTGACATAGATAAAATCTACTTGCATTCAAGTAAAATTTGTATAATACATTCTAAAGTAACTTTTAACTAACCGAATTAAATATTTTTAATTATCATTTTTTATTCAATAAAAACAGTGACTTATATAAAAAAAATCGATTTGAAGTATACTGGATGTCCCGTAAGTAAACAGAAGAGGTGATAGTGTAACTCAAGACCAACAAAATAATTCATATAAACCATGGTTCGGTTTTTCATAGAAAAGAATAATAAGCAATAACTAAAAATAATCTTTAATATGGATAGTTAATGATTGCTTCAAAGTAAGATAAAATTTATATATCCAATAAAAATTCTTATATCCAAACTATATTCTTATTTATGTATCTCTGAGGCTCCTTAGTCCATATTTTTATTTTTGTGTATTATCATAAAGGTACTCGTCCCAGAATAAATAAAGCATTATTATTATTATTATTAAAATTAACTTTAAAAAAAATCACAAATAATCCATAATTTAATGAAAAACTGAACTTGGCCTAGTTTAGTCACTATTAAAAGCCCTCTTTAAATTATTTTGACAAAGACAAACTCTGATTGCATTCGAAGTAAATTTTGTTTAGTGTACTATGAAACACTATATGTTATATTTATACACTATATATAAATGTTAGTAACCTAATTTTTTTTTAAAACAAATTTATTAAGAAATATTACAATTTGTCACAATTAAGGACATTTATAATAGTGTTCAAAGAGCACATTCACACTCCATTCACAATAAATAAAAATAAATAATACAGGGAAATAATAATCCTAAAAATAAATATTTATAAACTAAGACTACTCGCATGCTTCTATACAATATCTGAAAAAAAATCACTCACTCAAGATCTCCGAGCAAAGCCTTTCTTCCCACTCGTGAAAGGAAACGCAGGACTCTAGGAGATCCCAGCGCCCCTCACTCAGCCGCCAAAGTAACCTAAATTAAAAAAAATATTATTACCATATTTCATTTAACAAAAGCGTGACTTTAACAGACATGCTATATATACAGCGTGTCCCGTAAGTAAAAGAAAATATTTAAACAGGTGATATCAGACCACAAGAGTTACACAACAGTAAATCAGAGACCTAGGCGGTATTTCAAATAAAATATCTTAAAATACTAAATAAAATACATTTTTTTGTATTTAGCATTTTAAAAAGTAAAATATAAATTAAATTGTTTATAACTTCATTTTCTATTTAAAATCCAAAATAAAGATTTATCTTTTATTTCTACAATATTAAAATACAAAAAAAAAAAAAAAATTAAAATCATACAAAACGAAACGTTGGCTTTTATTAAAAATAGTTTTACCACTATTTAGCCTATTTATGACCGCCATCCCGGACCATCTCCTTCTTTTAAAATACACAAAATAAATTACCTAATCGACTAAGTTCCCAGTATTATAAGCTTATCGTCCACCAATAAGTTTTTTTTTTTTGTACTTAAAATACAAAATATTTTGGATATATTGTATTTGAAATACCTTTAAATTAAAAAAAAAAAACGATTTAAATATTTGGTATTATAAATTTAATTTTAAGATAATAATTAAATACTTTTTTCCCAGGCCTAAATAAAGCATAGATCGATTTACCACGGAAAAGCAAGAAATTTAAGTTTTGTATTTTATTTCAAAGTAAGTCGAGTTTTTTGTTTAACAGCAAACGAGAGGAAATGAGATTAGGAACATTTAGTTGGCCAATTAATATAATAAGTTACATTAATAAGTATTTACCAAAAATAAGTTCAATTCCTTTTTTTTTCACACATTGTTATTATTTTCAATTTATCTAAAACTAATTTCTAGCTAATACTTATTCATCAGAAAACAACAAAAAACATACCTAGATGAAAAATGAATTTTTCAAATATTTTTTTGATCTAGATAAAATTTGTTGAAAAATGAGATTTCACAATGAAACCGACGATATTCTATTTGAATGGTTACAATATATATAGTAAATAAACTAATGATTTATTAGTTACAATAATAAACTAATAATTTGTAATTTAATAATGTCATATGTGAGTACATTGATCTGTAACCATGTGTACAGACATACATTGATATGGAAACCTATAAAAAATAATTGCGCAATCAGTAATCTCCATCCTACAATCGACTGACAGAACTCATTTAAACGGGGAACAAATCGAATCAGAACATTAGAAAATTCAAAAATTAATTCTTAGAAAAATATAGCACACATAAGTAGGAAAAAACAATATGCGAAAATTTTTTTCAGAAAAACCTATACGGTTTGTTCATTGATTTTATTGACAATAATTTTTTTTAATATATTAAATTTATAAATTCATTATCTACTAATGTTTCATTCTGATTAGCAAGCAACAACTAAGTTGTTGACATTCAGTGAAAAACTTAAGACCATATTTAACGTCCATATTAAACTTTGATTAAAATAAAAAAATGTATATATGTGTATATAAGAAATTGCATAATGACTGTCACAAATGTATATGTATATATATATATATATATATATATATATATATATATTACATTTGTGACAATCATTATGCAATTTCTTCATTATTAAAAATGGCTAAATAGCACTAAAAGGGAATTCAATAAACATTAAATAAAGTTGAAATAACATAACTTCTCTTATATACATTTAATTTAAAATTTAATATTTAGGAAAAGCTTCCCTTAATGTAGTGTATTCATCAGTAATCTTTTTATAATTAATTTTTTAATTAATATAATATTAAATTTATAATTAATAACTCGACAAAATCACCACGATAAAAAAAAATACCTGACAATATAAATCAACAATCTGATAATGCAAACTTACATATTTTTTAATTATTTTTTTTATTAAGTAATATAATATTCTATCACTCCCAAGAGTAACTATGCAGAATCAAAATA